CATGGACAAAACTTTATTTTATTTTATTAAAAAATACTTCAACTAAGAAATATGACTTTTTGTATGTGAAAGACTTGTAATATTAACTCATAGACTGCCAAATTTCATGAAGATATACCCAATACATAGAGAGTTATAAGTATTAAATTGATGTCAACTTTAAACTAGTACAGATGGTCACGTGACTTGGTCAAATCGACCGACCCCGTGTCGAAAAAGTTAACTAATACTCTCTGATAGTAGCTGCTTCTTGTGTAGAATTTTTATACATATAATATTAGAAATAATTATGAAAACTGAATAAAATAAATATAATGTAAGTATTATGGGATTGCTTCCCTGATTGTATGAAAATGAACTGCACCAGAGTATAATTACATCTTCACACTTTACTCTGTGATTTGTTTTCATCAAACCAAGTGGAAAGTGGCATACTTGCATTATGCCTATAAAAGTACAGGTAGTCATATATGATTCCCAACAATAGTATGGTGAATGCACTCATAGATTACAGGAAGAAATGCCAATTGTCAAATTTATGAAAAAGGTTTTGGGTTGGTGAATACTATTATATGTAACAGATTGAGGCAAAATCTCATGTTTTAGTTGGAGCTGTATGGAAATTGAAGATGATATATGAAATTATTAGTGTAGATACTAGAAGAAATTGATGCAGAAAACCTAGACTCTTCAAAAGCAGTGTTACATAACTCAGGATATACTCTTTGTGATACATGACAATCCAGTAGAGATCTTGCAAAGTACAGGTGTGAATGTTCTGGCCAGGACTGTAAAATACACATTAACACAATGTAGCATCAGTGGATGTGAAGTCCAAACTCTACTGCTTAAGATACAGAATCAAACCAAAAAGTTGAAAATGAGGATAAGATTACAACAATGGGAGGAGAATGCATCTCAGCCAAAGTCTAAAATCTATGAAGCTACATTTATATTGAAGTTATAAGATTCCACTTAGTGTTGTTTTGTTCGAAACTAATTTGACTTTTCTCATAGGGGGCTATGAGTGCTGTATTGTGATCAGAAAAAAATGTCAGTAAATTTACATACACTAATGGTTTCAATCAGTTCATGCTGAAATAAACCCACCTAGCTTTTGAAACAGGCTCTGATGTTTTTTACGATTGACTAAAACACTGTTTGTGAATTTTATCGTTTTTTTGGAGAAAAAAAATATCTTGTTCTAGATTTTAATATTTTACTGTTTGTTTTCTCTAATGACACAAAAATATATATTTTGTGAAATGATAAATTTAGAGAAGTGTATAAAAATAACTGCTTTCTGATCATTGTGTTATGAAACTGCTCACCACTAGCTTCAATTTTTTTCTACTTGATTTGATAGAATGAGTTATTAAATCTAACCTCAAGATGCACATATTACTTCATTATTGTTATTACCACTGGTGCAGTTCACACTAAAGGAACTGTACAGACATGTTTCATGGTTATGACATTGTGGTATTATGTTTAGTGAACACTGAGAGAAAGGATTTGGAAGCTGTTCATCCAGATATTCACTTGTTTTTGTGCTACTCTACTTATTTACATAGAAGAAAGGCATCTCATCATTTCCAGTTATATAGCTGCAAAATTATATATGCTCACAACTTTTTACGCTTTGAAAGAGTACAAAAATCAGGCTACTTATGTATTTTAAAATATACACAAAGCTGTTCTCTACATTTAAAGATGTCCCTGATTGGATAGCAGTAAGTTTACAGTCTTACAGTGCTGAAATGTAAGGTTTGATTCCCTGCAGAGCACATAGTAGATAGCTCAATGTGGCTTTGCTCTAAAACAAACACATATTTAAAGACACAACAGATTTTGCTTTTGATGATATTCTCATTGGTTTGGCTGTGCTGATGTAATGTAATATATCTTGAAATTGCACTATTTAGCTGTTAATAGTATGGGATTTATTTTAAGTTTTAATTAAAAATATACAACTTGAAAGTTAGATATGATATTCTCAAAACCAATTTCTCTGTAAAGTAGTGCAGAGGTGTTATAAAAACTAAATCCAAAAACTTTGATATTTTATATTGTTAGACATAAAGAATACAGTGGGGTTTTAGTAAACAATATGCATTGTGTTCTTAATGGTTGAATATTTGTAGTAGTGCTATTGAACTTCAATATTTTAATACTAGTGCTTTCTACAATTTTGGTTACCTGATACTTCTCTTATGAAAACACTGTGAGCTTTATCATTTGTCTGTTATGGATTTCAGAGCTTGAAAAAATCTCCAGTTTGTTATCTTTAATATGGAAATCTGTCAACATATAATAGTTCAAATGTTTTGTTATCTTGACTTTCGCCAGCACTTTTAACATGTTTACTGGGATGTTGCAAGGGTTAAAGTATCTGAAATATACCATTTTCAATAATTGGACTTAAGGTATTGTCAAATGGGAATCTTAGTAGTGTTTTTATAATAGTAGGCCTAACTTCGTGATATTCAGGATACTTATCTGTATTTCTGTGAATTCAGCAGACTCTTGCAACTTTGATATCTAGTTTCTTTTACCAGATGAACAGTTAATTAACAGTACTGTTTTATAACCACTGTTCTTTTGAACAGTATACTTATTTGTATTAAGACTTTGCTTCCTCAGTTTTATTTTAGAAACTTCTTTAGCACAATATTTATATCTTATTTTGATAAAATCAGATGATTAGTCTTTAACATTTGAAAACTGTAATATTTTAAAATTTACTGGTTTTTCCCTTTGTAAAAAAATTCTTAGTGTGAATAACTTGTATAAGTAGGATTTGATAGTTTACATGGAGTTTCTAATAGTATATTAAAATTAAAAAAAAAATGGTATCAAAGTCTAAAATATAGTTAATTTTACATTTTGTAAAGTTATATATGTAAAAATATTATTATAAAATAAAAATGCTTTGGCTGCTTTGTTTTTGTGGTATTTTGAATCAAATCTGACCTTATTCATGATGTTTAAAACAGTAAGATCAAAAATAGCTATTTATTTTGGACTTGTCTGTGTGTAGTGTGTATCTTAAAGCTATTAAAGAAATTGTGAATATGATCATTTTTCAGCACATTTGATTCCTCCATAAAAGAATATGAATGCTAATAATATAGAAATTGTATTGGAAAGTATGGAGGATGAACAGAAAAAAAATTATATCCGAAAAGAAATACAACAACCTGATTGCTTTTGAAAAGAAGAATTTCCTTGATGAGGAATATGTGTCTATTTATACTTGATGAAGGAATTTCCACTTTCCGAAAGTATTTGGATTATTGGATTTATTTTCTGATAGTAAAACAGATATGATAGTAGTCTTTTTCTCCAAGTGTGGAAGAGCTTTGTTTAAAACATTGATTTTTTTGCTTAAGATTTATGAATTTTAGTGTATATGAAGTTCCAACTTTTAACAATGACTTTATTGCATTTAGCAAGAATTAATTTTGTTCTCAACTTACATGCTTTATTTTTCCCTTGCTAGTTATTGGAAACAAAATCCTTTTTGTTTGGTCTAGTCAATATAGAGGTATTGAAATCACAATTCAGTTCATAACATATTAAGTGGAGTTAAAAAACAAGTTGAATTTAGTTCTGCTCAATTTTTTCACTATGATTACTCATAGATAACTTACAAAATATTTCAACTTATCTAAGATGTTTTTTTCTAAGTCATTGATGATGCCAGAAATAAATAATTTCTAGGGTATTGTAATTTTTGTATCTGTGTATTGTTACAGAAACTAGAGTATGAACTTATAAAGGTATATATATATATATAGAGAGAGATATATACACAGTATAACTTGTGTATTTATAGATGCCTTATTCTATAGCAAGTTGTTGTTCCATAGGTACAGGCAGAGGTCCCTGGATCTCCAATATTTATTATGAAACTAGCAACATGTGCTCGCCATTTAGAAGTCCAGTTACTAGCTGACCAGTATGGGAATGCAATATCTGTTTTTGGTCGAGACTGTTCTATTCAGCGACGCCATCAGAAAATCATTGAAGAGGCTCCTTGTGTGATTGCAAAACCTGATGTTTTTGAACAAATGGAAAATGTGAGAAAGTGATTTAAAAAAAAAGTGTTAGTGAAAGGAAGTTAACTGAGAACCCCGAAAGTTGCACTTATTACAGCTGTTTGTAAAACTCGGGGGAATGTGTGTATGAAATTATTTAACGTTCTAAAATGAAATTTTTAAAAAATTTATTTCATGAATCAGATGTATTCAGGTACTGCCTGATGTTCTCAAATTATACATGATGTTACTTGAATTATAGTTTTCTATTTATCGTACAATATTAGCGCGAATCATTAAAGAACATTTGTATTGTTGTTACTTTCTTTAGCAGGGTCTGATCACTTAAACTGTCTACTGTGTTCTGTTTTACCTTGTATTTATGTGAGAGTGCTCTATAACTTTCACATGAAGCAGGGTGATATCCATAATTCTTATGGTTCATTTTTGTGATTGGTCAAATTCAGTTGTATACTAGATGACAGTCTCAGGGGTTGTGCTGCCAGCCACTGACCCCTTATCTGGAGATTTGCTGTGTACTGTCAGCAGGGGACCTCAACTGTCCATCAAGATACTTTTTTTATTTAATAAAGTGTTTAATTTTTATTTCAACTTCAATACTCTGTATTGTCTTTTATTATATCTATAACAAATTCCTGTTCCTCCATATACTAGGTCCATGAATCTCTTGTTGTTGCAGAAACTGGGTAATTGTGTGCTATATTTATTCATGAGATATCACAACAGTAGTTTTAACTATAATATTGTTCTTCCTTTTCAGACATATCATTTACTCTGATAGTTTTAAGTTACTAATAATAGTTTTTTTTGGGGGGAGGGGAATTTTTATAATATTTGATGGATGTTTAAGAAATATAGTAATTCATTCCACTTTTGAGATACCATGCCAGTGTTTTTATTTTTTTAGGCTGCAGTAAGATTGGCTAAGATGGTAGGGTATGTCAGCACAGGTACTGTAGAGTACTTGTATGATGAAGATGGAAATTTTTACTTTCTGGAACTCAATCCTAGGCTCCAGGTTAGTCAGTTGTAAAGTAAAAGTCACGGTGCATTGTTACTAGCTTTAAAGTCTGCACTGCAGAATGTAAGAATGAAAACTAGGATTATTTCAACTATACAGTAATAAATGGTTTTGTTGACATCATGTATTTCTTTGTTTTTTATCCTTGTATAGTTTATAGCTATTACTAAAAATGAAATTAAGATTAGATACTTTATTTTCCTGTCAGCTTTTCCGGAGTATTATCATTCTGATGAACTTAGTGTTCTAAGAAAGAAAGAAAAATATAGTCATTACTTTACAATGTAATTAAGTGAAGATTAACTTTTAAGTTAATGTAGCACTACGTTTACTATATATATATATATTTCTTGTATATTACAAATTACATTCTGTTCTGATCATGTTGTTAAAGGTGTATTAATATGTTTCTGGTGCTGTAACATGTTACTCATCTATTAATTCTCTGAAATACTCATGTGGTTAAGGACATGTTAATAAGTTTTTGCTGCTTTAATATATAACTTAACTATTAGTTCTCTGTGATATGCATGGTTTGGGACATGTTAATATGATTTTGTTGCTGTAATGTGTAACTCAACTATTAATTCTATGTGATACTCTTGTGGTTAAGGGCATGTTAATATGTTTTTGTTGCTGTAACATATAACTCATCTGTTAATTTTCTGTGGTAATCTTTTGGTGCAAGGTTTATTGATATGTTTCTGGTACTATAACATGTAACTTGTATATTTATTCTGTATAAGGTAATCATGTGATTAAGGTTGTGTTAACATGTTTTTGATGCTGTAACATGTAACTTGTATATTCATTCTTTATAAGGTAATCATGAGTTTAAAGGTTTATTAGTATGTTTCCATTGCTGTGACATATTCTAACTTGTATATTCATCCTTTATAAAGTAATCATGACTTTAAAGGTGTATTGATATGTTTCTGGTGCTGTAATGTAATTCATCTATTCATTCTTCATGGTGTAATATATGTTACATATGTTTTTGAAATGCAAAAAAGCTGTGGTATCAGTAGTTTTTTCTATACTGTTTCTAGGTGGAACATCCTTGCACAGAAATGGTGGCTGATGTTAACCTTCCTTCAGCTCAGCTTCAGGTTTTTAATAGTTTAATATTTTTCTTATCAATAAAGTTGTGTGAAATTTTTATTTTATTTATTTCCAGTATTTATGTTAAATTCTTAGAAGTACTTCTGCTAGCTCATTCTTGCCAGGATATGCCCATAGGATATTTTGGATAGAAGAATCAGAGCTGTTTTACTTATATGTAAAGCTTAAATGAAAAAAAAAGAACAAAAGAAATGTTATTTTAAAATAGGTTTCAACCTTAGAATGATTTTTTATTTTACTTTAAGAAAGGAGAAAATCTAGCCACGAACAGAATTCATTAAGTGCATTTACTGTTTGTCTTCTAGGCACTATTTTTCTTTTCTTGTGTGAACAATTAAGGTATTAATGTTGCTTTGCCTCACCGATTTTTATTGCTGATATCAAGTAAAAGTTGCAAGTTAAAAGTAACGTAGACATTTTAATCTTATTGGAGCCAAAAATGAATAAAAAAGATTGTATGAAGTTTAAAAACTGCAATGTAGACCAAAACTTGGTAAATAGTGTAGAATCTATACTTCAGGTGATAGTTTAGAATTTAGTCAGTGTTTAATAGTAAGCTAGGCTCAATATTTGCAGTCTTATCTGTACAACAGAATTAAAAGATGATTATTTTGTTAGAAAAATATCTTCTTTTTTTAATTACTATATTCCGGAATCAAGTAATAAATGTGGTACAATTATTGTGTATGGTCTAGCTGTAGGTAAATGTGTGGTGTAAAAAAACTATGTGTATACATTTACTGCTTTCAGAAGTACATGGTTAGATATGGATGAATATTTATTAAAACCAGTAATTAATAAACATTTTTATAATATTTTAGCACTAATATGTATGTTTATAACAACTGCTGAGAATTGAAATTTGTGTTTATATAAACTGTTAAAAACAGATCAGTTAATAATTAACGATTGAGATTTGTATACATCATTAGTAATAATAATACATGTATGTGCATAATGTTAAGCAGTAACATTGTGTTTGTGTAAACATTTAAGTTTTATTGGATTAATTTTTGTACTTTATGTTCAGTTGTTTTGTGACTTACATTTCTTCCAGATTGCTATGGGTATTCCTCTTCACAGAATTAAAGAGATTAGGCTCCTTTATGGAGAGTCTCCAGTTGGTGACTCCATGATAAACTTCGAAAACCCACAACATAAACCTCAACCTCTGGGACATGTAATAGCTGCTAGAATTACTTGTGAAAATCCTGATGAAGGTTTCAAACCAAGTGCTGGCACAGTTCAGGAACTCAACTTTCGCAGCAACAAGAATGTCTGGGGTTATTTTAGTGTGGGAGCTTCTGGAGGTCTTCATGAGTATGCCGACTCTCAGTTTGGTCACTGCTTCTCTTGGGGTGAAGATAGAGAGCAAGCAAGAGAGTATGTTTAATGTCATAGCTGCAAACGTGTCTATCTTTTTATAGTATGTTTAATGTCATAGCTGCAAATGTGTCTATCTTTTGATGCTTAAATATAGATTAAAGTGTTTATTTTTACAGAGTGAAATTTCAGTTTCTTTTGTAAATTAACCATTTTGTGTTATTGATAATTTATAAATTTATAAGTTATAAAAGTGTTCTGCTTTAAGATGTGTAATTTACAAGCTGAGGTCCCCATCGTTTGTCTGGGTTATGAACTTAAAATAATGTGGGTGTGGATGCTGTGATAAATAACACAAAAATCCTAATTTTCACACAGTTTATTTATAACATAACATATTATTACAGTATTCATAATTACCTCACCAAAAGTTTTGTATAAGCTTTAAGAACTCACTATGTAGATACTTAAAACATGGTATACACTGTGCGATGATCAGGGTGACTTTGTATGAAGAGGTAGCAGCCAAAGTAGTGGCAGTAGGTGTACTTTCTGTCACCTGCTTTTAACACCCAGCTCTTAATGTCCTTCCACAGTGTTTCACTTTATTAATTAATTGACAGTCATTGGCCGTAAAATGTCTTAAGGTATAAGTTGTAATGTCACGGGTTAAATTAGGGTTAAATATATAATTCAAGAAATGGCTTTTCATGTCAGCGTTATGGTGACTGTTGTAGTATAAGTTTCATCTGAGATTGTGTATTATTTCAATAGTGGTGGCCATTTTTTTTCCATTGCATTTCTCCATAGAGAGTGCTAGCACACTTTCTGAGATATAAAAGACGTTTGTGTACCCTCCTCCCACACTATATGTATGTTGTGTTATAGAAAATTTAGTAAACTTGTTTGATGTAATAATGTTGCACCATCTATGAATGTAGTTAACTTACATCAAAGATAATAAATGCTCAATAACAGCAATAATGGGGGTGGAGTGTTGTGAACCTCCATTAACATGCCCCTTATTCCAAACTATCATCCCACAAAGTTTGGTTGAGGTTGGCCCAGAGACCTAGTAGTAATTAGATAATGGACAAGCAGATTTTTGTGCTATATATGTACATATCTACATATATGTGTATTTTTTATGGGTCTTAATATTCATCTTCTTGTGTTGAACTACAAGTAGGTCATATCCCATTTATTTGCACACACACACGGGATAAATCAAATTTGCCTACTGTAGTATGACTCACCCAATATACATAAACTGTAGTTTTTATGCTAGTTTTATTTGTCTGTCCTGTATGTGCCTCTTTTTTTGGCTTATTTGTTTGGAATTTGTTGAAAATCATCCTAGGTAAGGAGGTACTGTTCAGTTATCCTTGCTTTAAAAGATAAAGTTGACATAACTGTTGTGTTATGATTATAGATATAGATACACTTTTATTTATACATCATGGTTTTATGTACCTAGATGTACGATTCAGGAAAAGGGGCTGATGCAGTCTAAAACTTGTGTTATTAGGTATTTTAAAAAATGGACTAACATTTTCCAAGATAAATATAATAATAGCTATTCATCGTGCAAAAACAATAAATCTAATATATGAGTTTCATGAATTGTTTCATAGTTTGAAAATTGTTCTTCAACCAAATGAACAACAGAGCCGAATTTAATTAAATACAGTTAAAGAATTAATTTTGTTGACAGTAATATTGCTATCTTATGTATTACATAAATACCTCCAAATTCAAAGTGATTCAAATGAATCAATTTGCCTGAAAGTATCACATTTGGCAAGTTTTATTGGCATTGATGCAGTATAATCTTATTGTACCTGCAAAAAGAGGCTGTATGGTTTTTATACTGTTTTATTATGTATTTGAGTAATAAATCCACTTGGAAGTATTCTTCCTCACACTACAATGGAATTACCACCAACATGTTCTTTGTGATGCTGCTGCTAATTCTATGTGAGAAACTGCAGATCTGAAGCAGATCTCAACAATAAGTTGGAGTATGAAATGTGTTTCAACAATAATTACTTTATTTGCCATAGTGAAGTCGGTATTAAGTCCATGAGTAGTTGATTGGCATTTTCCGAAAAGTGAGGATGGTGCTTATTATATTATGTGCTAACCTTTCACAACCTTGTACAGGCAGTCTTATATATCATGCCTTGACCTTTAGATTGTCTGATTCCACCATTTGAACAGCTCTGACAGTCTGAATATGCATACAAAATATTAGAAGATAATAATGTAACAAATTTGTATAGCAGCAAATATCAGAATTGAATCGGACAGCATAGAGGTACAGTTGTTATAGAGCAGATAGTATGTTTGTATAATTCTCAGAGAAGAAAAGTATCTGATGATGACAAAATATTGTTGAAATATTATACATTTGTTATTGTTTTATACTAGTAATAAAGTTTTCTTTGCTATTCATTCAAGCTGTCTCCAAGCTTCATTGACTTTAATCTCTAATACAAAAGATATATATGTTTTAGAAATCTAGTACTGGCACTGAAAGAACTGTCCATCAGAGGAGATTTTCGTACCACAGTGGAATATTTAATCACCCTACTGGAAACGGAAGTCTACCAACTGAACCGGATTGATACAGGGTGGCTGGATAAACGTATTGCAGAAAGAGTTCAGGTATGAGAATTACATGTACTTTTTTATTCAGTTTCAGATAATAACCATGTATAAAACACAACTTTGTAAGTTGGCTGAAAATTGTATTGTATAGTTAAAACATTTTGTACTTAGATTCCCCAAAATAGTATTAAATTTTCTTTTTTGCTGTTGGTATTAAGTTTTTTGTAAGCTTTTAAAAACATTGCAATCCATTAAACTTTAAGAATTTTATTTTGTTTAGGTGTACTATGAGTATAGTCAGGTGGTTTTTATTATGTGACTGTGTATGAAATTTGTGACAGAAGTAATATTTTTTTCTCTTTCCAGTCTGAAAAACCTGACACTATGCTGTCTGTTATTTGTGGGTCTCTTCATATAGCAGATAGAACAATCCTAAAAAACTTTCATGATTTCCAAAGTTCTCTCGAAAAGTGAGTGTTAAGCTATCTTTAATAGTTTCATATTATTGAGATTGTCTGTTTCATTAACTCTCCCAACACGGGATCAGTCAATTTGACCAAGTCACTTGACCTTTTGTACTCATTTAAAGTTGATATAAATTTAATACTTATAACTCTCTATATATTGAGTATATCCTCTTTCACATACAAAAAGTCATATTTCTTAATGAAGTATTTTTAATAAAATAAAATAAGTTTTGTCCATGAATATATTAAGTATTTGTTTTGAATAGTCAGTGTGCAAAGTAATTTTCATATTAAAATTAAAAATACTTTTCGCCATCTCAAAAATCTCAAATTTCCTTTGTGTAATCCCTAAAACATTCTAAATGCATTTCAAACGTTTTTTTTCACTAAATCCTTGTAGTTTATATGTTATTTTTTCTACCCTATCTTAAAATGGGATCGGTCAGTTGGACCGACCTTGTAACCACCAAAAAAAAAAATCAAAATAAACCTAAATTAATCTTCTTTTTCTTCTAGAATGACTTCAAATTGTAACATGAAACTACATTTGTTTATCCTAAGTAGCTCTAAGTTTGTAACAGTATACATCTATTCATAATTAAATTTTATTGTTTTATTGCCCTTTGAACCTGTCTAACTACTGTCTGTGCCATTATAAGTTGTAAATCACTCGGGAAACGTGCAGCTCATGTTATGCTATCAAATTTCATTACCCATGGGTGAAGACAACTTTTGTCTATTTCATGTCTTATCTCATTAAGTTCTTCATCTCACATCTTCTCTTTCCTATAGCCATCAACATCCTCTGGATAAGATCTTGCAGGCATGGATGTTGACTTCTAACATCTTTGTGTCAGACTACTTACAATATGTTGAGGTTTCATCTACCTTTGGTTTTCACCTTTCACCAGAGGCTCTCTGAAGATCTGTTGTTCATTATTTCTTTTTATTGCAAGCACACAACCTCCTTAATATTTTTATATATTTATATTGTGGAGATAATGAAACCACATTGTGGTTGTTGTTGTTGCTTCGAAGGAATACTTTTCCATCCCAAAATCTACATTGAGTTGGAGATAATAAAGTGATAAGCCCATCTGCCCCTGGTCAGTTCTTGCTGCTGAGATGGGGTTTTCTACAAGACTGCTTTGACATTATGTGTATGTGTGTATGTTTATACTTCATTAAGTCTTAAAAAGAAAAAGAGAGACAGAAATGTGTGAGCCTGCCTTCACATCTCACTAGCACCTGCTATCCCTATTTGTAGTAATAACCCACTGCAGATACCTTATGTAGATCCAATGATTCCTGTATAATCCAAGTACCGTATTCCTCCACACTGTTTTCTTGTTGTGGAGTAAAAGGAGAATCTTTGGTTTTTTCAGTCCCAAACCACTGGAGAGACCGATGAGCAGGGTTTACCTTTGAGTCATTGTAATCCCACCCCTATGAGATTGAGTGGATGTACCTCTCAGTTGAATGTAAGGCTGTGGTTATTTGGAAATGTAGTACATGGTACCTCAATACACTATGAACAAAACCATTCCTGGTGGTTAGGCCAGCTGGTTGAGTCTTGTGTTTTTCATGGGAGGCAGGTCTGGGATAATTTTTCCCTTCACCTGCTTTTTTTAGGAGATCTTTCCTATAGTATATCTCCAATACTGTATGGCTTGCCTTTTTGCTCTAGTCACACTACACACTCATGCTCAACCAATTGCCTCAGAAACAATGACTGATTGTACAATATTACATTCCACCTATGTGACACCTTAGTATCATAGATTTAGTTCTTTTGACAGTAATCTTTTCTCTACTACTTTTCTTGGGTGAAAAGTATTCCCTGTTTGAGAAGGATGTGGCCTCCCACCAAGTGGTAACCCACTAGGTTCTCCTTCTAATGGGTGACACTTTGTAAGACATTATAAATATAGTTTCATTTAGAAGCTCATCTTTTCAATTTTTATGGCTATGGCAAACTATCCATGATATTATTCATTTAGGACTGAGCTATTTGTTGTGCAGAGGCAAGTTTACATCTCTGAAGTTAACATTTTCCTTTCCTGGATATACATTTCAGATAATTACTCTCTTCTCTGCACAACTTCCTCCCCCACTTCCAATGTATTTCTTTTTGTGTCATTCAGAATGAGCCTTTGTTCAAATGCTAGTGCTCAAGAATGTGTTGTACTCCTATTTGTGGAGGGCTATTTTATAGTGATGATTACATCATAGGCTACTGCAGTCCTCATTAATATGTGTGCTGGTCGGAGTTCTGTTGAAAGCAAGATAATAGCTGTTTATTGTGCAGTGAGGTATCTATCTATCCAAAATACATTTTCCTGTAAGAAAACTGCTAACTTTATGTTTGATTGACAAGCAGTTATTCCTAACATAAATTACACTTTGGTACCATTAATATATTTATTTATATTTTAAGTGTTAAAATATGCCAGTAGACTGGTAGAAAATTATTTTTTAAATCCAGCAATTGTTTTTTTTCTTGTTAATTTCAGACAAGCTTGACATTAATGACATAACTTGTTGCTTAATTCTTCTCACAACCTCATTAATACATTTTTTTAATATTTTTTCCTGTTTAGAGGACAGATTCTTCCTGCTAACATTTTGAATAATACTGTAGATGTGGAGATGGTTTATGATGGAATCAAGTATAAAGTGCAAGTAAGTTTGTTCCAAGTAAAAGATGTTTTCTTATATATTTGTGGTTACCATCTGAAGCTAGATATTTTCCTTTTTGATGTTTTGGTATTTGATTTTACAAATAATTTGATATCTGTATCATCCAAGCATGACATGATGTTTTGGATTTTTTTATTGTTCATATATAATTAGTATTGTTAAAAGGCAAATGCCGCTTAAACGTATTATGCTTTAATATGTAATTTTTTAAAAATGTTTGTCAATTTTTTTCTCAAAATACTAGTACTGATCCAATTACAAAATATTTAGGAATGTGTTATGTATTAATGAATCTTCAGGAAAGAGACAAATACGTTATTCAAACCTACTCTTCAAGTAGATGTAATCCAAAAAAACCACTGTATCTGGAACTGATAACATAAATATTTTTTAATATTAGGAATTTATTATCAATAAGTGTAATGTCTGATAGTTGAAAAACTCAACCTTAGAATCAAGATTATGTGAAAGGAAGTTTCATTTCTATAAATGTATGTCAGAACTATTTTTATGTATAATCTTCCTACGGAAAGTTATTGCATTTTTTCTTTCATTATTGTTATGATTAATTTAGTTTTTAACACTGATTTTACGTTCTGTCAAATTTACAAACTGCACTATACGTTCATGAAAGTACAAGGCTTATTTTCAGGAGTCTTAAAAAGAATAATTTCATTTTATTTATTTTTATTCTACTTGTAGGCTTCTAGGTCAGGTCCAAATTCGTATTTTCTTTGCATGAACAATTCTCTCAAAGAAGTTGAAGCTCATAGTCTCAGTGATGGTGGGCTTCTTCTGTCTGTGGATGGGGCCAGTTACACAACCTACATGAAAGAAGAGATTGATCGCTACAGAGTTGTCATTGGGAATCAAACATGCATATTTGATAAAGAAAATGATCCCACAATTTTGAGGTTGTTATTAGTTTTTACTGCATTTTACATCTTTTATTTTTTTTGTAGATAATTTATATACCATTCTGAAATGTGGCATTGTGATGTGTTAGAATTGTTTTATTTGAAATTAACAAGTGCGAGGTCAGAAAATTGTATTTTTTTTCCATTTATCTTGTTACTAATAATGAAAATATTTTCATATATTAGAAATGGTTAAAATGTCAGCTTTATTTGAAGTGACTTTTCAACTGTGTATTGCAAACTATGACTTGATGCTTATTTAAATTACTGTTTTCCAGTTCATACATTAATCTTTAATTAGAATGTTATTAATAGATTGTTATTATTTTTTAAGTATAAAAGTGATGACTGAAATTCTTCAAGAAATGTTATAGTTTAGTTAGAATATTCAATACTTAACTCTCTCGCTTACGGGCTCAGTTGATGTGACCGACCTTTTCACTTCAAAGTGACCATTAGAGTTTCCATACTATAACTTTTAACATGTTTTGTGTATCTGCAGTAAGTCTGTAAATTTATAATGCTAAAAAATTATTATGTTTTTAGTATTCAAAGAAATCAGTATTTTAAATTTATTCTTGGATCATAAGACTTTGTTAAGTTTAATTATTTCTTGGAAAAAATATTGAAATGGGCTAAAAACAAAAGATGTTTTGTTACTGTTACTTCAGTGACTGAAAAAATAAACATATAAACAGATCACCATCAGCGGGAAAACTTCTCCAGTTTCTAGTGGAAGATGGAGCACATGTGTTTCCTGGTCAGGCTTATGCTGAAATTGAGGTGATGAAGATGCTGATGACACTGACTGTCTTGGAATCTGGCTGGTAAGAATACTGGATGTGACTGTCATCCTAACTGCAAAGAGTGGTGGGGATAAAAACATGGTGTGATTTAGCTGATTTTGAACTTGGTCCATTGATAGTATGTGAAGGAGTATTAATAGCACTCACTTTGTCCAACAGTTCTTTTAGAAAAATAATCGCTATCAGAAGTTTAAGTAAAAAAAATTGACTGTAAAATAATGTGGAGTTTCAGGATTTTCACAAGCTGGTATAATTGTTTTGTTTGTCACTGAGGAACCAGAACTACATTCTGGATTGTTCCATTTCAAATTAAGTAATGATTGTATAGGTTATAAAGTTTTAATATAAAATTTTCATATTATTCTAATAAGTAATTAGATAAGATATATAAACATTTTAATTGTTGTCTATTTACATTTTCATAACTCATGTTTTTAGTGTACATTTTGTGAAATGCCCTGGAGCTATATTGGATGCTGGTAGTATCCTGGCGAGAATAGAACTAGATGATCCCACGAGGGTTACTAAGGTATGTGTTAAAAACAGTTAGTTTGGAAGATGAAGGTTATATCATTGGGTCATAATATTGTAATTGTCATATAAATTTGAAATCAGTTTTTTCCTTGTGTCCTACCATTTTGTTTGGGTTCTGAGCCCATTTGTTTTTTACATGCTAAACATTTTGATTCAATTGTAAAATGTTGTACTTTCTTAATTTAATTGCATAAGAATGATATCAATTATTAGCTTCTTTTCAAAATTTTACTATTTCTTTATTTTTTTATGAATTTTTATAGTTTTTAACATAAATAGTTTGTGCAGTTTGCTAGGTCTTAATTTTTTTGGTTTTAATATTTTGTTGATACCTAATTTGTTTGTAGAATACTGTCAGATGTATTTGATTAATTGTTTTGTGAACATTTTTAGTATGGCTTTCTGAAGGTGCAGCATTTTATTTCAAACTTATACCTGTTTTGGACATACTGTTCATTTGTTTATTGACCAGTTCTTGATTTGTTTGTCTGTCACATTGTAGTTGTATTTAACCTATTTGTAACTACCGTTATTTTTTGTTAATCCTTTTTTTATGGCATTCAGTTATTTTGCTATTTCTTCATTTGTGTAATGACATAACTGTTTAGTTTGATGTATCATATCAGTAACTTACTGTTCAATTTCTTTTTAAAGTTATAAGAAGTTTTTTAATTCTGTGTGCCTTTAGGCCATTAATTTTTATTTTTCTAATTTACTTTGTTATGTTCAGTTAATTTTTTATTGATACTTTATTTATGTTTTTGCTTTTGAACTATAGGTCTATTATAGTTTTATTATATTTTCTAACATCCTGCTACTTTGTGGTACCTAATCATAATTACTACTGTTTATCCTCTAACATCATCTCAGTTTTTAGTTTATTCTGTCATGTGCATTATGGTTAATACTATGATTATTCAGTATTTTTTTTATTCTTTATTCTTCAGGCTCAGTTATTCACTGGTCAATTTCCTCGAATGGAATCTCCTGAGGGTCCAAGTAGGCACGGTGAGAAAATGAATCAAGTTTTCCAGACTGCAAAGCGAGAATTGGGGAACATCTTAGCTGGCTATGTGTTGCCAGAACCATACTGCATTCCGCGGATCACAAATGCTGTTGACACCTTTATGAAAACATTAAGAGATCCAAGCTTACCATTGCTGGAACTACAGGTACACCTATGCTGCTGCTTTGTACAATGCTACTATCTTGTAGAAATTCAGTATGGTCTTATTATAGAGTTAGTTGAAAATATAACCAATGACAGTTAATTCTGATGTAGCTTAGAGCTAAATGTTTGTGGGCCTTCTTTGCAGTTGTGTTCTAGAATTATATATAATATATAAATACATAAATCAGTAGTTTTAATCTTATAAGATACGATAATGAAATGAATACAAATCAAAAAAAAAGCTAAATAATTTTATTTCCATTACTAGTCCTTGTCATCATCATTAATTCATTAATATGAGTACCTCCAAAAACCAGGGCACATTACATAATTACCCACCATATGATTTGTGCCCTGTTGTTGGATGTTGGTATTGTGGCGGGATTTATGTTATTTAATTAATTAATTTTTCTTTATATTTTTTCCATAAAATTTCCTTTAATTATATATATATGTGTGTGTGTGTGTGTGTGTGTGTGTGTATATATAGCAGTCTTGCTGGAAAGATTTCATTGATTTGGTTGTAATTGTTATTAAACTTGAACTTTTATTTAAGTGTACTATAATGAAAATAATTTTTAAAACTTACTACCCAAAATCACTGATGATGGTGTAACTTACAACAGCTCTACACCAATTAAATCACTTCTATTGCTATAATCATATAATCAAAGTTAAACGTCGATAAACTTATATCAGTTTTATTTTAGTTAAAACAATTTTGTTTCTAAATTTTTTGAATTTTTCAGTTTTCAACTCCTAAACAGTCACAATATATAATAGATCATTTATAATAGAATACACTATGCCATTTGTTATACCAAAAAGAAAAGTGTTTGCATTTTTATTCTATTTATGTGGTATTTTAGGTAAAGTTAGCTGTTTCACATCTGTTTTTTAATAAGTTGGAAGTCCACAGTTTAAATTATGATCATTTTTTGCAGGAGATAATCTCTTCAATCTCAGGACGTATACCAAGTGTTGTGGAACGGGAGATCAGAAAACTCATGACAAAGTATGCAAGCAATATCACATCTGTACTGTTTCAGTTTCCAAGTCAACAGGTGAAATGTGGTTTAATCTTTAGTTTGGCAATTTATGAAAATTTCCATTTGAAAATAATGTCGTAGGAGAATATGTATATAAAACTATCACTGTATCGGCAAGTCTCATTATTCATAAAAGTAGGTTATTGGAATTTTTGTAATATAAAATATTACATTAGAAAGTTTCGTAAATCATAAAAATAAGTTGTTGTAACAGGCTTGGTGTCAAACTGCAAATGAAATGTTATGTTTAGGCCATTTGAGAATAATGATCATTGGCTTATTTCACATTAGGAAGTGATTTTTTCTTTCAAAAATGTAATAAATGTGAGCTTTTGGATTTTTTATAATTTATCTCATTAGTTTAATCAGTTGTATTCTAAGCACATAGACATTGTAGGTGTAAAAAAGGCAATAATGCAGAACTTGAAATAATCTACTTAAAGAACAAAGGCAGGAACATTTCATAAGAAATGTTTGTACTGTGCATTGGAATTGTTAATCAACTTAAGAGTTGATTAATTGATGAACTTTGAACCTCTTCTTGACTGAAACGTGAAGAACAGTATACAGAACAAAATTTTATTTTTGTTTCTGGCTGTTATTTCATGGTTTGTCTCCTAAAATATGTGAAAAGATTTTGCACTTTTTCTAAAAATATCTACCACCTGCAAGTCTCACTGGCCAATTGCTAATCATGTGACAGTCTATATTTTCTTTAGAATATTAAAAATTTACAGTGTGTTTCTGGCATACAGATTACACTATTACTTATGCTTGGGTATGTTACAACTATGTAAACTAGGTTACAATGTAACTAAGTATGCTTTCATTCTTGTATGTTAATTATAACAATTCACAGCTGGCCCGGCATGACCAAGTGGTTAGGGAGCTCGGTTGTGTGTTCGAATCTCCATTCCACCAAACATGCTCGCTTTTTTAGCTGTGGGGTCGTTATTATGTGATGGTCAATCCCATTATTCATTGGTAAAAGAGTAGCCCAAAGTTGGCAGTGGATGGTGATGACTAGCTGCCTTCCCTCCACTTTTACCGCTAAATTAGAGACGGCTAGTGCATATAGCCCTTGTGTAGCTTTGCACAAATTCAAAACAAACAAACAGTTCACAACTGCAAATTACGTATCAGATCTTCAAGATTGCTACAGATAATATCTGGATTTGCATAAATGAAAGGAAGAAAAGACATATCACTTCCAAGGCATTATTTCTCACTCAAGGAAACTCATTTATGTCATAGTGCAGATAATCTTGAACATTATCATTGCTGTTTTTTGTATAATTATGAAACCTGTCTTTCATTTCAACTCACCAAGTTTTTAGAACAAGAGTTTATTTATTCAAATACAACTGGGTTGTCAAGTGCCTTAGTGTATTGTTGGCTCGGTGACTATTACTAAATGGATTAAGGGTTTTGTTTATAGAATTATGCATGTACTTTTCTCTACGTTAACCCCTTACCTACCAGGGACATTTTGTCTTATTGTGAGGGCAAAATCACATTTGTGAATTGAGGAAATTATAGAGAACTTATCTTTTATTGGATTAAATATTTTATTTTTGTAAAGAGTAGCATAACATTCAGTTATTTGTCCCATATTTTGTTATTTAGTGAAGTTTGAAGAGAAGTTTAATAAAAAAACATCCAAAATATGTTTGAGACTATAAATAAGCACCCTCTAAGAAAAAATATTTTTCAATATTTTTTCCTTGCACTTTAAGCCTGGTCCTGCCATCTATGATTGGTATCTAAACCTTTTTCTTGTCTGTTTTCTTTATAAAACAGCGTCTGAATGTGTTAAACCTCAGGTGTAAAACTTTTAGCCAATCCTAGTCAAAGGTGTCAGTTTCAGTACTATGTTATTCCAATCGCTGTATTTCACATTTGACAAATCATAGGATGATAAGCAAAGCACGTGATGAAACGTTGTTCTGTTGATTTTACAATATGAATGTGGAAGGTGCTTATTATAGTAACTGACATTTTATGTAGAGGTTGTATTTAATAGTTGTCAATAGTATTTTTTTGTAAGCCTAAGAAAATTTACTTCTGGAAAAAACTGCTTGGAATGTTTGTGACTATTATTTTTCTATAGTAGCTTAAATCATTCTATATCATATATCTATTTATATTAATCTTTATATTGAAAAATTAACACAAAATAGATATAGTTTTAGGAAAGAAGTTTATCCATGAATGTTACAGTTAAGATCTTTTGAGTGGAGAGTGCATGGTCTTTACGTGAATTAGGCTTAACATTTTGAACTGAAAGAGTTTGTGATTTTAATATTCTTTTGCACTTAAATTAGTAGTTTTAAGTTAAATAATGTAGCATAATTTTTATATTTAGTTCATAATAAGAATATAATTTAGTATTTAGAATGATAACTTTGTGTGATTTGTACGTACTACTAGTACCAGTACCACATAAGAATTTTATATTTTTTCTTCTTACTATCTTTATTTTGTAGTAAGACCCACAGTTCTGTTGTTGTTGCTTTATAATTAAAACAGTCTAACTGATATATAAAAAACTTATTCTGATATTTTGCAAAT